TGTTAATGTTTAATATTTTTCATTAAATTATTGTAAAATTAAATATGAATAATAAAACAAAAAGTGAGGTTAGGCAACCAAGAAAACGCACGATTCTCTTTCTACGATTTAAATTATCTTTAAGTTTTAATTTGCTTTAAGTTTTCAGTGAAATATTTTAAAATTAAATGTTAAACACAGCTACCAAACTACCTATTTTATAAATAAAAATCCAAACAAATTGAAATTAAATAACTACCTATTTATTAAACAATTAAATGAATTCAATGTAATAGCAAAAATCCATTTCTACTTAAATCATGTTAAAAGCAATAATAATTATTGTACATTTAATGTAATCTTCAGCTAATAAATAAATGATATTCTAAAAAAGTGAGGTTAGGCCGCTTTGTTGTTGAATTAAATTGACCTATATAAAGTGCTTTGAAGATAAAATGTTGTATGCCATTCGGCCAAGAAGTGCCTTTTTGTGCTTCGCTCAATTGTAGGCATCCGCTACGCGTCGGCCTTCAAACCTTGAGCTTAGCACAAAAAGCCTAACTTCTTAACCTAATGAAATAAATAACTATTGTTTTTTTATCTCTGTCATTTAGGCAATTGTTTTGAAAAATAAATGCAATGATGCCGAAGACATCAAGAGGGAAAAAAGGCATTTAAAATTCTGTATTTATTTTTTCATATAAATTTATAAACAAATCTAGTAAACCATGACTTATATTAGCGAACTTATTTTCTATGGTTAAAAGCAAATTTCACTCTTGATATAATTTTAATTGTTTTATGTCTAATTTAAAATGTCAATGTACAGAAATCGACTTTTTTAGGGAAAATATAAACGTTGAAAGATAATTACCCAATTTATTTTATAAAACAACAGTTTTTAAAGAAAAATACTGCGTTGCTATGTCGTGCAAAAACCTAAATCAGTTGATATAAATAAATCAACGTTTCCGCATATTTTGTTTTACTGTTTATAATTAAAGGAGGTTACGGGGAAATTATAAATGTAAACGGAATTTACGCGGTAATAAACTTGAGGCATTTGAATTTTCTAATTTAATTTTTAGTACGAACTAGCTACACAATGATTCAAAGATGATCGTAAAAGAGGAATTTGATAAACCCATAAATGGTTTTATGATGATCTAGTGTTTATGAGAAAAACGATAAGAGGAGTGCTTTGCTAGATTAGTTTATATAAAAATCAGTAGGTATAAAAAATAATGGAACCAACAAATAGTAAAATATTTCTTTGTAAACAATTTATGAACATGAAATACCATCGTCAAAATTTTTAATATTAATAATTTGTGGGAATCAATTTAAGCTATAACGATTTTTTTATTTTTTTTATTTTAAGGTTTTTAATTTTATTGATGTTGTGGTATACAGTGTGTTTCATTTTATTTATTTAAATAAAAATGTTTTTAGTTTGTAGTAATCATAAGTCTCTGTCTTTTGAGGAAAAACATATTTTCATATGTTATTTCAATGGAATTTTTTAAATGATAATTTTGTATTAAAATTTTATACAGGATGGTCAAAAACTAAGGTCAAACTTGGACAAATATCAATTTTTTTAAGCACAAAATTTAAAAAATGCCTTATAACTTTTGACGTTTTTGGAAACCTTCTATTAATCATAGAGGGCCATGGAAATAACATATGAAAATATTTTTTTCTTCAGCATACGGACGCACAGTGTTTCAATTCTCGAAAATATCGGCAAAACCTCAAAAATTGAAAAATTTAGATAGGTAGTTAATACCTGTCTCCATTCTGTATTGAAAAAAAATTATATAAAATACGTATATTTTGTCTTGTACATCAGTTTAAACTTGACGCTTTCAGTTGAAGGTACTTTACACGCGATCGCTGCGGAAAATTGTTTATTGTTTAAAAGTGAATAACTTGTGTTTGGTGTGTCCGATTGTTATGCGGTTTGATGAAGGGTGATCTTCAAAGTATCTAAAATTCAGATATGTATTTGTTTTTCGCAGATTTTGCTTGTACAACGGGTTATTGTAACCGACAAGATCGGTCTGTTAAAATCGCAAACTTTGAATCGAGCTTTTAGAACAATGGAGCTACAAAAATTGTAATGAATTGTAAGGCATTTGTTCAAGAGTCTTTGAATAGCTTAGAGTTTTGTCTATCAAGCAATTCAATAAATTAGCTGCCCCAACTTGCCCCCGACTCTTTAAAACTATATGTTCTTGGGCGCTTAGGCACGGTTGTGGTAAAAAACCTCGCGATTTTAAGCCTATGTCGAGCGCGTATCTGTGTTTTTGCTTTACAAAATATAAGATTTTTTTTATTTTTCGGTTGCGTTTATGACGTTTACTCGATTCACTCGGATTTAACTCAAAACGTTTATTACAACAGCGGTGTCTAGACTTTCACTTGCGTAAATCGCTCGTGACTACTAGGATATTTAACACCGATTTTACATATTTAACCCACATCTTGTAGGTGCGTTAAAACAACCCCGCATGCGCATTGTAGAGTGTTAATGTCAAATTTGAATTGTGGTTATTTGTGTTGACAATTTTTTTAGCGAATTAACAAATCGTTGCTAAAATATTAAGTAAAAGAAATAATACAAATTTAAAATACTTAGTATAAAATCTGATATATTTAAATTTTATAAATAAATTTTGAAAGTTTCTCGGGAGAAAACGATGTAAGATGTTTTCCATTGGCTTATGGCATCTTCCGATCCGTATATTTATAGCTTCAGAAAAATTGCTCCGAAAAAGAGCAAATCTTTGTCCCGCGAAGCAATAAAACTGTTGCTATCTTCTGATGGTTTCCCATGCTCTGCTAATGATACAACGAGCGAATCCAGTGACGGAGATTGTTTAATATATATGTAGGTATTAAATAATGTCATATAAATGTAAATATAATAAACTAAATTAAGCAATTTTATAAAAAGATGTTTTATTAGATTTTAAAAAGAACCTCTTATGGATTTTTAATTAATTTCGACAATATTTGATAAAAATGTCCGCCATTTGAGGTCTACCATTTTGAATTTTGGAATTCTGATTCCAGATTCATTATCAGCGACCACAAAAACCCCTGTATGGTGATTTTCAATTAATTCCGTCAATTTTTTTACAAATATGCCCGCAATTTTAGATCTACCATTTTGAATTTTGACATTCTGATTCCAGATTCGTTATCAGCGACCCCAAAAACCTTGTATGGTGATTTTCAATTTATTCCGTCAATTTTTTGACAAATATGTCCGCCATTTTGGATTTACCATTTACCAACGACCCCAAAAACCACTATATACGGATTTTTAGGAGAATCCGACTACTCCTTGATATTTTGCCGAAAATTTCGAGAATTGAAACACTGTGCGTCGCCCAGATTGTCCGGGTTATTTACGCACTCTAATTCATTTAATCATTTTACAAGTTTTATTAACTAAATAAAACCATGATAAAAATACCTTGTTGAAATATCAAAAAATAGTAGTAAAATGTCACTATGCCAACACGAGAAACAAAAGAATTCACGTTTGCGGAGTCATGTTAAAGTTAAATTTTGAATATGTTTTCGGCGAAAAAAGTACGTAAAAAAGTCAAAAAATTCCAATTCCAATTATTAAAGAATAAACATATTTTTTTGTAAAAATGTTAGCGGCGAAAAAAAATCAAACTGGAGTTATCTGTTTAATTTAAACTTTTCCCAGGACGATATGTAAATTTTCGACTTCAATTGTTGCTATAAAAACGAATTTTTTAAGTTATTAAAATCGCTAGCGTCAAAATACTTATCCGATATCAAAAGTATGTAAAAGAAAGTTTTTGAGGGCTTAAATACCTTTATTTTAAGGGCTTGTTTGACCAAATCGATCAATTAGATTTCAAGATATACTCAAAAACGTCAAAACACCTCCGAAAATTTAAATCTAGTGTTACAGGACATCTAAGATCATATTTGCGATGGTCACTCACAGTGGCGGCGCGTGACATTTCATTTTGGTGAGGTAGAGGCAGGGGTTCGCCTTCATTTAAAGGCGAAGAAATTTTTTTAAACCCAACTTAATAAAACTGACGTCGCAGTTCACAACCTATACTTAAAACTAAGTAAAAAAAACTTAGACTGTGGTGGGGAGGAAATCCTCTACTGTCAATGAAATATATTTTATTGTAAAAATGACGTTTATTTTAAATAAACCTCATTTTTGTCTAAATAATATTTCATTGTTCAGCAAGAACCACGTGAAGGTCAACAATATCGGTACAATTTCTCACCGTAATATCCATAATGACTAAATTCACATAAATCACCAAATTCAATTACTTAACTAAACCCACAGAATAAACCACTTACAAAAGAATCATAAAATAGACAAACTCATAGAAAAAGAATAAACAAAATATTGCGTAAATAACCACAGATTTGTTTTTTTAACAGTTCAGAATTTTATAACCAAAACAAACCTAAAGAAGGAATCTGTATTTATTTTATTGGTTACTGTGGTGGCTACAAGATGGCGATAGTGTTAAAATATGTTTATTTTAGAATAAAAATATAATTTTGATTAAATCGATTTATTATAAGAAAAATACTACCATTTATTATTGAATTTTGAAAAACGTGTGAAGTATAATTTATGTAAAATTCCGCATATGCTAATACGAGAGAAGGAGACAACTATGATATCGCATTGTAATAGAACGAGACAGCAAGGCTAACGCCAATCGCGAGTCTAAATTAGTTCAGGCATGCTTCTGAGCCCATCATCTAGCTATAAATATTAGTTTAAATTGCGGTCGTTTCAAATTCAAATAATTTAAATGTTGCTGGGTAGTCCACGTATAAAATCATTCAATTTTATTGACTATTTCGCAATTCATGTAATCCAAATATTACAAATTTATGGTATATTATAGAAAGTAAAATATTTAAATTAGAGTTAATTTTTTAATTCTTTATGATGAGGCACTGCCTCCCCTGACGGGCCGCCAGTGGTCACTCACCTCATTGGGTATTCCGTCGGGAAATCGCGAATCGCAGTCTCCTCTGGAGTAACGCACCGGCTCGAGGCGGCTGGCTACATAGCCAGGCAGAACAACACCGTTTTTGATTCGCTGGAGCCGCGGCTCACCATTCTCCGTCTTGCACTCGGGACCTAGGAACAGGCACAGGTTCTCAGGGTCGTCCTTGTCAGCCACGTACAGCCTGAAAGCAAAATACACCGCCATAAAAATCAGATTAGTTAACGTGAGTTCGTAGTTTGATTTAAAAACCAAGTCCTTAGTAAACTCTTTCAGCAATCTTTATAACAATCCATAACATCCTTAGTTAATACAGTAAACAATTTATATATAAAATAAAATAATTTTAATCAATTTTTTTTAAATTTGACTCATGTCCCAGACATTTTTTCCGTTGCGTTACGTCCGTCGCGTTACCGATATTAGAATATTAAAAAAAACATATATATGGCAACTTTTTTGGCACTCACGTGATCAACAAATGATGTTCGGACGTACACATTACCCAGCTGAATTTATTTATTCAATCAGGAAGAAGATATCGGTTGAAACAGGTGCGGGTAACGCGAATGTAATAATTGTTTGTCCGCTAAGTTACTCAAAAAAAATAATAAAAATAAGGTAAGAAAAAATACTATTTTTCATGTATATGTTTATTTTAGGGCACTAAAGCTCATTGAGAGTAATTAATGACTATAATGTCTTATTACTATTTTTTAAATATGGTTTTACCTTATGGTAACGCAATGGAATTTAGGGTAACGCAATAGAATTTTTCGACAACAAAGTGGATATTTACCGTCGCTTTTAAAAGTAGTTTATAATTAACCAATTTAAAATTATTTGTAATTACAACTCATGATATAGATTACATCCAAGGAAAAATTCCACGCAATATAAAAGTACTAAAAGGGACCTTCACCAGCTTATAGTCAAAGAAAAAGGGTGTCTACAATTTAGAAATCTAAGTTGTTATTCTATAAGTGAGCACCACTACAAGGGATTTTGTTTATGCATTACTCTAAAATCGTACCACCCTATATAGTTTCTTCTTTACGTTATCTGCTTAAGTCCTTTGTGTATCCTTATCCGTTGTGATAGCAATGTCTATTTCGTTACTTTTTTTAGTTTTTGTTAAAAAAAAATACTTACAATGATTTTTATACACTATCACTTGGTAATACGTGTTTATAAATTAGGGTTTAATTCACTAATACAGTGACTAAAAGAAAATATTAATGATATTGTTTTTTTAACAAAGAATCGGAATGGTTTCTTTTAAAAAGTAACTTAACGAACATACATATTTAAAAAAAAGCATACAATTTTTAATAAAAAATAAAATAAAAAATTGGAGTCAAAAGTTTGTGAACTAAGTAAATTTTATTTCAAATTATTTTTATAACAACTTTTCTTATTGAATTAAATTTTGGATTTCAAATTGGTAACACAGTGGAGATATATAAAGCTAGCTAACCACATTTTTCTGAAAAAAACGTAAAAAAAAATTAAAAAGTGCACTGTCTGTCTTAAATGTAAGTAAACAAAACTCTAAACATTTATAAAAATCCAACCAAAAGTCAATTTTGCTTAAATTGACCTATTGCCTATTTTGATCTTCATTTTCCTGAAAGCGGGTGTTTCTTGAAAATGACCCAAATACATTTATACCTGACTAAACCTTATTATTGACAAAAACTTGTCTTGAAGAGGATTGCGGCAATATAAAACATACACAATTGGGTTATGTTCGCAGTTTGCAATGTGTTCTGGTATAAGTAAATTTGCATTAGAAGGTATGAAAAACGAAAATTACGGCTTAACACCTCTGAAAAGAACAAAGAAATTTTGTTGAAGTTGGTGGAAATTTTATTCAAGTGTTTGTTCTTGTAAAAGATTAATTAATTATATTATAGTTATAATAGAATACTACTAAAAGGCAATGCTCTTTTACCTATACTTTTACAGGTACCAATAACACCTTTTTTGGCATTCAGGCAAACGTTTGAAAAATAAATGCAATGATGCCGAAGACATCGAGAGGGAAAAAATACATTTAAAATTTGAAACAAGAATATAAAAAAATAAGAAACAAACTCTAGAGGAAAACATATGTTAGTTAATGCTTGATATACATAAATTATGGCTTCAGAATAAACTTTTTTAATCAAAAGGAGGGAGCTATACTCAAAAATTGCATATCCAGAAAAATTGTGATAGAAAATGGGTGGGAGGTGGAGTCTTGAAACTTTTTGTAGCCATATTATTTTATAATATTTTGTGAAATTAACAAGAAAAATGTTCAATGAAGCGTTAATTAATTGAACAACTGTGTAAACAAAATATATTTCATGAACTAAGTAAAACCTACACACTTGAGTGGTATAAAATGGAAAATCACGTACAAAATTGCTTTTAATCCTTTTAAATCTCTAAGATTAGGCAATATAAGCAACGCGTGATTAGATTATAATTAATAAATTCCGATTTGATTACAAGGTAGGAAATGTGCCTCAAGCTGACTAATGTCTTTGGGAGGAAGGCTGACGCAAGGATTTTAACGTATAAATTATTCCACGATAAAAAGTATAACATGGCTGATAAGGGTTTGTTTTAATATTTTACAATATTGTATAAAAAAGTATTATAAGGGTGAATCTCACCTGATATTTAATAAACCTAAATGAGTTTGACCTACACTTTTATTGTGTTTTGATCTTTCATAATTAAGTAGATATTACAGCTCAGGTTCCAGATTTTTAACCACAATTTATTATTTTTTACAAGGTTTTAAAAGTCTAAAACCTATCCTCCGTGACTGTTACTCTTTTTAGGTTAACCTATATGTTTTTAAATATCTGAGGTAGTAAAAGCATACTAAAAATATCAGTTCACTAAGTAAATTAAACACATCCAAAGCAATCGAATCAAATATAAAATATTATTAAAAATTAAAAGAAACAATTTTTATAACCATTTATGTAGGTGTTCTATCCTCCGTGAATATGTTTTTGCTTTAAATTTTATACAACGGATGGGGCTTTAATCATTTTAAATAAGCAAAAACTTCTGTTTACGACATTATAGATGCATGTGATTTCTGAAGGTCAGTTAGAATTTATATGCAGATGAGAGTGTTGCTGTTTTATAATTCAAAAGTTTAAGTTCATTAATTTGCTATTTAAAAACCTATCCACCGTAAAGTGTAATATCTCAGTAAGTAGATTTTTTTATAAATATTTTATGTATGTACAATAGTATTTTTAAAAAATTTTAAGGTGTCAAAAGACACTTGGGGGACATCTCAATATATTCACCCAAATGTACTGTGAGTTTTTTTACTGTTCATATTCATTAAACTCCAAAAAATCTGCTTTATCAAGTCATAACTTTATCGACTTAAATCGCAAAATTTAGTTATTATAGTTTCAAGTACTTAACAGCACCATATAAATTTAACTGCAATAAAGGCTGTAAAACTTGCTTTAAGGTTAAATATCAATCATCAAATTTTAAATGCTCTATAAACGAATTTCGCGTTTTATCTAATACTAAAATACAACTCTATAAAACAATATCACAGTGAAATTGATAATTTATATTTTGTTATTTTATCAATATTTTTAATGATTTTTAATACGCTAAAGCATCGGGTTTTTAAAACGCGCGCGCCATCTGGTGAAAAAATATTTTTTCTACTCCCACCTTTAAAACGCCCTTTATCGTACATGTTTCCATGAAACTTTTAAATACACATTGACAAGTTGTGGCTTTACGGCGCTTTAGTCACGGGCTGAAGTTAGCAACAGGTTTGTGGATGAAGTTAGTTTTAAGTTAGTTGACAGTTGTCAAATGTCATACAATCGTTAAAATAAAGTGCCTTTCTTGTAAAATAATACTAAATGTGAAAAGTATTTTATTATCTCAATACAAAAATACAAAAGTATTAAAGAGTTTCTAAACGCCAATATTTGAAAAGTTTATATGAACATTGTACTGACCTTTTAATTTCGCCGGCAGTAAACTGTAAAGTGCTCATAAAACATTTTTTTTACTTTCACTGGGAAAAACTGTCAATTTTCAAGAAATAGGTACATTTCGATTTATAACCTTTATAATCTGTGTTTAAAAAATATAAAGATTTGACATTTGACGGTGACACACAGATTCCCCTATTGTTTCATAGATGACGCTCTATAAAAATATTTGATTTAAATCATTTTAAGATAATAATAAGTATTTGTCGTAGAAAAAGTATAGTATGCACCTCGTTTATAAACTTTTCTATACACTCATTAATTTAAGCACTCGCTCGCAAGCTCGCTCGTGCCTAAATTAAATTCGTGTATAAAATGGCATTTATCAAATTTGATATATCATGTATACATAATATACTATTTTCGCACGAGGTCAATTAAAGTACTGATAATGTTAATGAATTGTATTGTCACCCATAATATAACAAGTGGTATGATTATCATCGATGATATTTTCGAATTGAAACCGAGCTGCAGATTTCACGAGTCCGCAGGACGAGTGAAATGTGCTGCTTCGGTTTTAATGAGTAAATATCATCGATAATTAATCATACCACGAGTTATATTTAGTGAGAAAATATAATGAATTTTAGGATTTAACGAATTTTTAGTTTGACATTTGAAATTAAAATGTGCTTTAAAATATAAAAAGACTTTAATAAACCTTATTTATTCAAACTTACCTTAATTTTATTATCGTTTACACCAACCCATCGATCTTTTAGAGTTTATAATTCATTATTTTAATCATTTAGGTAACAAACACAGTATTTAAATAACAACAAATGTCAAATCAAAAAAACGTCAAAGTTCATAGTAACGTGTAAACAAGATGATAAAAATAATTGCCGCTGTGATAAAATACGTCACTATGGAATACTGGCATTTTATTGGTTCTAATATTAATGAATTATATTGTCAGAGTTATAAAAAAAAATCATTATAAAAATTAATTCAATAAATAATAAACTCGTTCTAAAAGATCGTAAAAAATAAAAATATGATTTTTTAATTGAAAAAAGAAAACTATTATTTTAAAATAAAAATAAAATACAAATTTTTACAAAAATGGCGAATGCTCCGGTGTCAATTTCATTTTTTCTTCAATTCTTTTTTAGATTAAATGTTACCCAGCAATCAAAATTTGTAATTCGAATAAAATATGAATTTATGTCATGAACCAAGGGATAGGTTAGGTTGGGAGATTATATTCAACTGTTTTCTAAAAAATATTTTTGTATTTATATTTTGTAAACCAGGTGCTTTCTTTGCAAGTTACACTGGTTTACAAAATCGATAATTTTCCCATGTATTTTAACCCACTAAACACGAAAATCACACTCAATTTTTTTGGAAGCGTTTTTGAAATATGAATTTTCAATTATTTTTTTTTAATTGAAGGTATTTGAGCCCTTTAAAACTTTCTTTTACATACTTTTGATATCGGATAAGTTTTTTGACGCTAGCGATTTTAATAACCGTAAAAATTTGGTTTTATGGCAAAAATTGAGGTCAAAAATTTACATATCGTCCTGGGAAAGGTTTAAATCAAACAGATAACTCTAGATTGATTTTTTTTCGTGAAGCTGACATTTTTACAAAAAAAACAAGCTAATGTTGATAAAAATACATGAAAAAATGGCGAAGTTATGAATTTTTTAGTGGAAGACCAAAATTCATAACTTCATTTTTATTTTATTTTTTTTTTATTTTATTTTGTAATATGTTTATTCTTTAATGAAAACCTAAATAAAGTGCATGATTGGAATTTTTTAGTTTTATACGTACTTTTTTTACCGAAAACATTATTCAAAATTTAAATTTGACATGACCCCGCAAAATTCATAACTTCGCCATTTATCCATGTATTTTTATAAACAGCATCTTATTTTTTTTCCTTTAAGTATAATCTATACGTAAAATAAATCAAACTGGAATTATATTTTCGATTTCTATCTTTCGCAGAAAGATATGTAAATTTTCGACCTAGATTTTTGTAAAAAAAGGACTTTTTCAACTTCATAAAATCGCCAGTACCATAGTGTGATTTTCGCATTTAGTGAGCTACACAAGATAATCATATATTATATCACGAGAACTATGAATTTAATCGGTTAAACTAGGCTCAGTAGTTTTTTGTTTGGTTTTTCTTGGAAAATGTTGAATGCAAAATAATTTAATAAAATCACGAGACCGCGTAGCGGTCGAGGGGTTTTATTTTTAATTATTTTGCATGAAACTATTTTCCAAAAAGAAAAATCAAATAAAAAACTTACTGAGCATAGTTTGACAGATTTAATTTATAGGTTGAGTGATATACGTCTAGATTATTTCTTGAATTAAAGGAAACTATTTGACAATTCATAAAATCTGACGTATGTGTCAAAATTTATAAATATTTTTTTAAAGAAAATTCCATTAATTTAAGGTATGTAATAAGTAATAATTGCTATTTCGTAAACTAGATAACTAATTTTTTATTGTTTTTTTAAAATGTTTGTTAAAACTTGTAAATAACACCATAAAATCGTAAACAAAAATCCAATATAGAGGCTAAAATTTAATCGCTGTTAAAAAGTTCTAGTGACTTAATCGCTTATTTAAACGAAATTTATTCAAAAATTCAAGGCTTTTGATTGGTTCATATTATAATGAGGGAAATAATCATAGTAAGACATGGTGGGCAAAATGGCTGTAAACTTTATCGGCAAATCTTTTAGCATTCTATGTTTATTTTTTTCTCCCAAAATTACCTCTAATTGCCAAATCCATTGAACTGAATTCTTGAGGTAATGTCGAGTTAATAAAAGGTGTCAAATATAAGCGAATCTTGTACAATTCGTAAAAGACATTAGGAAAAGCATTTGCTATTTCGATGCAAAGCTTAATCATTCGTTAATGATGAAAATCGAAACAGCAATGGAGTCCGCTCAAGCGGAAATCTTATTATATCCGAAATGTAACATAAATTTATATTTTATATTAACCGGGTTTTTAATAGAAAAATAAATGGGATGTCTTCAATAACTGCTAAGGCATTTCTTGAAACTTTAATTTTTGTATTCGTTTTTTTTGGTACATATGGTTTAAAATTGAATGGATTTAACGAGTATTATGGCAAGTGTTTTAATATAATAATAATAATAATAATTAGTCAGGGGCTGAAGTTAGTTTGCAGTTGTCAAATCGTTTAAATGAAGTGCCCTTCTTGTAAACTAATACTAAATTAAAAAATTATTGTATTATCTCAATACAAAAATTTGAGAAGTTTATATGAACATTGTACTGTATATCGCAAAATTCGAGCGAAATTTAAAACTTCAATGCAAAAGTTTTCGTACGGCCTTAATTGCCTAAGTAATTTGGAAATTTAATTAGGATAGAAACGTGAATTTGATTAATTAGTAAAACTATCTCGAGAAACGTGCTAAATTGGGCATAGCATCTATTTAAATAATTTGCCATTAAACCCTTTTGTAGATATTAGGTAGTCCCTCAGAAGTTCTCTGGCTAATTTTTACCGTACTTATTACTAAATTACATTGAAGTTAAGTGTTTTAATTTCGCATCCTCTTTCTCTAGAAAAAACATTATTTTTATAATAAATAAAATTATCAGTGAAATAAAAAAATGGCATGATAAGAAAATACTTTAAGTCTTAATTAATGGACCTCAAATGAGGTTTATGTTAACAAATAGAAAATGTATGGAGTGTATATTATTTTTTACCACTTTATAACTCGTTATAAAGTGGTAAAAAATATTTATTTATTTTATGTTAAAAAAGTTCAAATTTGTTAATTTTAGCAAAGTTAATAATAAAAAAAAATTAGTTTTATAATAAGCAGAAAGTTTTTTCTAGTTTATAATAAATCCAACTTAGCCCGTGACTAAAAATTTCAAAAGCCGCTGTTGCCAACTTCAGCCCGTGACTAAAACGCCATAATTGCTGAGGCATTTCATTAGACTTAAATTTTTTATTCGTTTTCAACTACAATGATTGGTCTAAATTATTTTTTCTACTCCCACCTTTAAAACGCCCTTTATCGTACATGTTTCCATGACACTAAGTGACCTTTTAAATACACATTGACAAGTTGTGGCTTTATGGCGCTTTATTCACGGGCTGAAGTTAGCAACAGGTTTTTAGTCAAGGGCTGAAGTAAGTTTTAAGTTAGTTGACAGTTGTCAAATGTCATACAATCGTTAAAATAAATTGCCTTTCTTGTAAAATAATACTAAATGTGAAAATTATTTTATTATCTCAATACAAAAATACAAAAGTATTCAATACTTTCTCAACGCAAATATTTGAAAAATAAAATAAATCATTTTAAGATAATAAGTATTTGTCGTAATGAATAATGAATAATGAATAATGAATAATGAATAATGAATAATGAATAATGAATAATGAATAATGAATAATGAATAATGAATAATGAATAATGAATAATGAATAATGAATAATGAATAATGAATAATGAATAATGAATAATGAATAATGAATAATGAATAATGAATAATGAATAATGAATAATGAATAATGAATAATGAATAATGAATAATGAATAATGAATAATGAATAATGAATAATGAATAATGAATAATGAATAATGAATAATGAATAATGAATAATGAATAATGAATAACGAATAACGAAACATGAATAATGAATTATGAAAAAGCTTTTTATTTTCTTACCGGAAACCGTCGGCACTGACCGCCGAGCATATGCAGTTGGCGAGCTCCCACAGCACGTGGTCCTTCGTGGGCCTCAGCTGCAGGCTGTGCGTCAGATCTTGCAGCATCTGTCTTTTGTCTGCGTGCACGCAGAACTTCCAGCGCGACAGGGAGGTTTTGCGGCCGTTGCGGCACGCGGCGGCCGTCTCGGTTTTTTTCTTGAGGCGCTGCGATTTCCTGATGATCCAGCGCTCGAGCTGTTCGACCTCGACCTCGTCCATGACGTAGCGCTCGAGGAATTCTGGGTGGGTTGTGAGGTACTGCGACACTTCTTCATCTGCAAAAGAATACTTTATTCATCTAATAATAAAACAAATATATATATATATATTATTTTTTCTGACCTATACTTTTTATGGTTTTATTCAATGCGTTTTGTAATTTTAAACATTTCTGTGAAATCGGAATTTCAATTGAGTTTACCGTTTTCGAGATATTTACAAAAAAAAATCTCCTAATTACGTCACTAGGCTATTGACAACGTTGCCAGCTTTTTCTATGGTTGCCAGTGTGTTTAGTTTAAGATTCTTACGATAGATGGCGCCACGTTATAATATTTTAGTTTTAAAACCACTTGATCTATAATTTTAGTTGAGAAGAAGAAGAATTGATTTTTTTACGTTTTTTTTTTAGGGTTATGTTTTTTTAAAATTTAGATTATTGAAAATCAATGTTATTGTTATGTTATTTGTAATTGATATTAGATAAGTGATTTATTAATAACGGACTCCAAAGCAGAGGAATCTTGTGGAATGGTTGGTTACATTAAACATTGGAGCTTTTAAACAAATAAAATAAGTACCTATAATTATAATCATATTTTGTCGTAAATGCATTTCATTAGTATAATGCCTAGTTCTTTATATTCTTTTAGATATATCTTGGACTCTAAAATATCAAACAGTAATATGATACCTCGTAATAAGGAAGATAGGTACTTAATGAATTTGGTGACCATCTTTCACTCAACTGACAGTGACAGTATTTGTACATAACCTCTTCGGGTATTTTCTGACATAACCGAATGAAATCATTAACAAGACAACTTGACAACAGGGTAATTTTCAACCAATAGAAATCTTAGAATCTTGGTCACATGGCGAGGTTTGTGACGTCATAAAAATTTATATTTTTTGTAAATATCTCGAAAACGGTAAACTCAATTGAAATTCTGATTTCACAGAAATGTTTAATATTACAAAACGCGCCTTGAATAAAACCATAAAAAGTATAGGTCAGAAAAAATTTAACTACCCCATTCGTGTACACTATACAAACATTGAGTTATAAAAATTTCTTTTAAAGCATTAACAAACATTTCACGGTTAAGTTGCTTAAGACTATCAAGTAAGTTATTGTACAGTTTAGGACCCCAGTAATCCACATATCTTTGGGTTGCATTTATCCTATGAAAAGGTATTAAGAATTGTTCCCTGTTTCTTGTGTTATATTTGTAATTATTGCAATTTTTTAAAAATTTATTTTTATTAAAATGTACATACTTCAAAACATTCAAGACATACACACTATAAAATGTAAGTATTCTTTCTTTCTTAAAATATTCCTTACAACTATCAGTCTTTTTTAGTGAAGGAATTGGTAAAACAAATTGCAAATTTATACCTAACTCGTCTTAGCCAAAAATGCTCCATGTCAACTCTTTAAGATTTTTCAACAAACTACTAAAAAATGTTAAATATTATTTTGTATCAAGAAGCCTGTGAAGGTATCTATGGTTACCACGTAATCTGTCATTGTTTAAAACTGAATGACGTCAATTTGTCAGGTTGACTAGTTAAGTGTTTTGTAAACAATATTACTGATAAAAATAGCAGTCATTGACTAAAAAACATTGACAAGCCAAACAACAAGTTAAAAAGTTATACAAGGGTCGTTTTCAAAAAGCACCCGCCTTCAGCTGTCAGTAAGTTTGAATTCCAATAACTTTGTTAAAAATTATCGGATCTTATTGATTTAAAAACCAAGTGAAAGCCTAACAAGCCCTTAGTAAACTCTTTCAGAAAATTTTTGTTTAGTTATTTCAGAATATATTTTTTTTAATTTTAAAACTTGTGAAACACACATTTTCGCATGTCCCATTAGCGTTTCATAAAACTTTTTTTTAATACTGAATAACCAGAACTTTGTGTTGCTTTATAGCAATCCATAACTTCCTTAGTTAATAAAGTAAACAATTTATATATAAATTAATTAATTTTAATCTACTTTTTTTAAATTTGACTAATGTCCCAGACATTTTTTTCGTTGCGTTACGTCCGTCGCGTTACCGATAGAATATTTAAAAAAGCATATAGATGACAACTTTTTTGGCACACGTGATTAACAAATGATGTTCGGACGTACACATTACATAGCTGAATTTATTTATTAAATCAGGAAGAAGATATCGGTTGAAACAAGTGCGGGTAATGCGAATGTAATAATTGTTTGTCCGCTAAGTTACTCAAGAAAATAATAAAAATAAGGTAAGAAAAAATACTATTTTTCATGTTTAAGTTTATTTTAGGGCACTAAAGCTCATTGAGAGTAATTAATGACTGTAATGTTTTATTATTATTTTTTAAATATGGTTTCACAAAACTTTGTCAACTGCGTTACTTTGTCCACTGCGTTGTCTTATGGTAACGCAATGGAATTTAGGGTAACGCAATAGAATTTTTCGACAACAAAGTGGATATTTACCGTCGCTTTTATTAAAAGCAGTTTATGATAAACCAATTTAAAATTATTTGTGATTACAACTTACGATATAGATTACATCCAAGGGAAAATTCCACGCAATATAAAAGTACTAAAAGGGACCTTCACCAGCTTATAGTCAAAGAAAAAGGGTGTCTATAATTTAGAAATCTAAGTTGTTATTCTGCAAGTGAGCACCACTACAAGGGATTTTGTTTATGCATTACTCTAAAATCGTACCACCCTATATATATATATATAAGAAACTATAGTTTCTTTTTTACGTTATCTGATTAAGTCCTTTGTGTACCCCAGTCCGTTGTGATACCAATGTCTATTTCGTTACTTTTTTTAGTTTTTGTTAAAAAAATCCTTAAAATGATTTTATAAAATATAGTATACTATAACTTGCAAGTTACCATGGTAATACCTGTTTATAAATTAGAGTTTAACTCACTAATACAGTGACTAAAAGAGAATATTAATGGTATTGTTTTTTTAACAAAGAATCGGAATGGTGTCTTTTAAAAAGTAACTTAACTAACATAAATATTTAAAAAAGGCATACAATTTTTAATAAAAAATAAAATTGGAGTAAAAAGTTTGTGAATTAAGTACATTTTATTTCAAATTATTTTTATAACAGACATATAAAGCTAGCTAAACACATTTTTAAAAACGTAAAAAAAAATTAAAAAGTGCATTGCCTGTCTTAAATGTAAGTAAACAAAACTCTAAACATTTATAAAAATCCAACCAAAAGTCAATTAAAGCAAAAAAAAATTTGATCTTCATTTTCCTGAAAGCGGGTGTTTCTTGAAAATTACCCACAAACAGTATTTGCTAATTTTGAAAAAAAAACTCAGCAAAGCTGTAAGACGTCAACTACATAAAGCACTAGCTCATTGGAGATAATAAAATATAAAATTTATTTTATGAAATATTTTAATTACAAATAGAATGCGTACACAGTAAAAAATATTTCGGTGTAAAGTTACCAAATGGAGTGGTAAAATCATTTGGTGTTAATTTATACACTAAAATTGGTCAAAAATATTAAGTGTTTAATTTAAATTGTGGTAAAATTCATTCGTGTTAATTTAAATTTATTTTACACAGCACCGTGTCAATCTAGTGTTAGTTTAAAGATAAACTCGACGCAGTGTACATTTGACACTATTATTTGTTGACAGCTACACACATTGTGGTAAAAAAAGTCACGTAGTCATCACCAGAGACAAAGGAGAGAGAGACGGATTTTTGAATAGGAATTTCTATTAACAAGTAAGATGCGCGTGGCTGTATACGCGTTTCTATGTAAATGTGTCTTGTACGCATCTGGTGTACCAACGTGATTTCAGAGTGACAACTTAAAATAACTAGAATATGTCGGACATAAACAAAACATATTGTCAAAATCAACAAACTTTATTGTTAGGTACTTACATTTAATATAAAAAAAGTTCCGCTTTCATTAAATATAAAAGTAAAGCTGTTGGGAACGGAAGAACGATATTAGTTTGGTAAAGTAAAGCAAAGCTATTAAATGGAAGAACGATTTTAAGGTTTGTAAAATATATTATATATATCCTACAACTAGTAGCTCTACATTAATGTGTTTAACATTTTAGATATTTATATACATTGTTGCAAGCACACAGAACAAGCACAATTGGGTGAATTCTTTGTCTATAGTGGCAACAAATGTCAGAAGTTTTGGGTTTTTGGTGTGGACTCTGGACTACATAATGGCAGTTTTCACATAAATTAGTAAGAAAATCTAGTACGAAGTTTATTTTAAATCTAATTAAAAACTTTTTAGGGACCACATTAATGTAAACCTAAAAAAACCAAATACACCAATGAACCAAAGAACTGACCATGATGTTCCTTACATCATAGAACCAACAAATCTGGTTAAACCAGGCAAAGACTGAAATGTAGTTTGTAAGTAAAGGTTTTAGTAAATGTAACATCTGGCGAAATGACATCTATTGCAAGATATCAGTGTCGATACCCTCCTTGCAGAAACATCTATTATGTTAAGTCTAAAAAACATTTTTTTAAATTTCCAACTGAAGAGGATCGTCGTAAAACATGGTTCAGTAAAATGAATGAAAACCTTTTAAATAAAGTTGATTATACGACCACAAGAGTTTACCTTTGTGAAGATCATTTTACTGATCCATGTTTTACCAATTCTCTTCACACAAGACTTACAAAGGTAGCAATTCCAACAAAATTTTGTAGAGAAAATTCCACCATTATTTTTCCACCAAGTTCCAATGACCACAATTCTCTGATAGACTCTGATAATATAACAATAGCTCAAACCAAGCCTTATCAAGTCACTGAAAATTCCACCAATATTTCTCCACCCACAACTTCCAATGACCAAAGTTTTTTGATAGACTCTAATAGTACAAAAATAGTTCAAACCAATCCATATCAAGTCACTGATTCATCACACAGTCAGAATTTTGACGCTGTTATAAGAAACATATCCACATCTCAATCCACCTCTCATCAAGACACTAAATCATTAAAATTTAAAAAAAAGAGACGTTTATTTTTAAA